TTCTCGGTAAGCTTGAATTGTGGTGCATTGTCACTTAGCACTTCTTCAGGTATACCTCTTCTTGCGTCGAATCGTCGAAGCCCCTGTAGGAATGCAGCAGCACTTAGATCTCTAATCAGCTCAAAATGAACCGCTCTCGTGGAGGAGCATGTGAATACGCAGATCCAGCATTTCCTTGACCCGTCCACACTTTCCACGTTGACCGGTCCCAAATAATCTAATCCGATGCGCCGAAAAGCTGTAGTTCGTTGCACCCGATGGGCTGGATATGGAGAAAAATGAGGTAATGCAAATCGCTCCGCTTTCCATCTCCGGCACAGCATACAGTTCTGAATTGCTTTCTTTACACTGCTACTTGCTTTTGCTATCCAGTATGTCTGGTGGAGTTCTGACAAGGTTTGAGCACAACCGCTTTGGGCGTTCTCTTCATGTATTTTGAAAATAACCAGTACTGTGGTTCTGCTCTCTCTTGGTAGATAAATTTGATGGATTGCTGTTGGCGTTACAACTGCACTACTGAGTCGACCACCACTTCTCAGTAGTCCGTATTCATCCTCTCGTAATTCCCATCTTTTTTTTTCTTCAGCATTTATCCCATTTCTTTGTTCCTGTAGCAGTATACATCGAACCGCAATCTGGCAGTCAGCAGCAGTTAAAGGGCCTGCGGTGGACATATGATCGAGCCAACTGAACTTCTCCTTGGATACCTTTTTAATGAATAGTAAAGCGCATCCTGCGGCGTCCACCATCCGGTACTAGTTACTGTACCTTTCGGAATCAATCCAGAGCGAACTTGGTTTGCATTCAACTTTCATTGATATCACACTTTCAGAAACAATGTCTTCAGGTGCTACCGCTTCAGAACCACATTCATCAGGGTCCAGGTTGGCCACATCGTTTCATCACTCAACCACGGTGGCCCTTTCCACCACCGGAGATTGGAGGATAATTCTTCTGGAGTGATACCCCTTGTGGCGAAACCCGCTGAATTGTCTCAGGTTGCGACATACTTGAATAATGCAGAGGATTTCCGTATTTCATCCAGGCGGTTTTTAACAAAACGCGGTTGGATTTTTGCTTCATCTCGAATCCAGTGCAGGATACATTTAGAGTCACTCCATGTACACTTTTCGGCTCCCTTTAAATCCGCCTCTTTAGCAACAAAGTTCATTGCTCGCACTCCGATAACCACTACAAGCAGTTCGAGACGCGGAACTGTTAATCCTTTGGGCGGACAGAGTCTTGATTTCGCAAATATCAAATAAGTTTCCCGGTTTCCGACCGGGCCACTGCTTAAATACAGTGCAGTGGCGTAATGCTTTCGATGATGCGTCAACAAACGCATGCAGCTGGAGCTTCCCGCTTTTAATCAAGTAGCGCGGAATATTTACACTCACATGCCTCCAAGAATTCACCAGGTTCTCCCATTTAGAAAAGCTAGGAAGCTGAAAATTTGGGGGGACATTCCCCACACACGTGTGGCCTCGCAAATTTAAATTCAGCCTCCCCGTACCCGCGGGTAACATGTACGGCCCCGTAAAAGTTTGAGCGGGTAAAATTATTATCACGGAACCAAAGAAGCCAGAAGGCTGCAATTTTGTGGGCATGTCCCCTGCCCACGTACGACCTGTCAAATTCAAATTCAACGTTTCCGCGCTCCGGGGATCACTTACGCCCCCACGAATATTTTGGCGGGGAATTATTTCGAGAACCATAAAGGCCAGGAAGCTGAAACTTTACAGTGATGTCCCCTGCTCACATACAATTTAAGTTCAGTCTTCTCACATGTTCGAGTGCCACTTATCGCCCCGTGAAAGTTCCGGTGGGGAAAATTATCTAGGAGACGGCGTAATCTGAAATTTTAGGGTGATCTTCTCTACCAACGTACGACTTCGCAAATTTTTTTTTTCGCAAAAACTTTACGCACCCCTGAGTACCAATGAAAGTTGAATGCGACCCAATTCGCTCTGGATTGATTCCGAAAGGTACAGTAACTGGTATCGGATGGTGGGCGCCGCAAGATACGCTTTGGATTCATTAAAAGGGTGTCCAAGGAAAAGTTCAGTTGGCTCGTTCATATGTCAATCGCAGGTCCTTTAATTGCTGCTGACTGCCAGATTGCTGTTCGATGTATATTGCTGCAGGAAAGGAGAGGGCTGGAAAACTTAATCGAACACCGAAATCACACGACGACGGGCTGTTAAAGAAGCTAGTGGGAAGAAATCTGATGCAGTGATGGTCTCCACAGCGTTTCAAAGAGATTTCAGCGACGCCAAAGGAAGAAGCAAGGCAACAGTTTTGTTGCTGTGCAAGGAGGTAATAATCGCAAATTCAGATGATCCGCCGCAGACGCAGAGAGTGACAGCTTTTTCGACGTCGGCAGCCAGAGAAGCTTTATTTCTGAGGATACTGTCGACAGATTGAGACTGCAAAAGAAGCAAACGGAAGCATTCTCAAGACTGGGATTTATTGCAAGAAAGCCTACGGCATTTCACATTCTAGTGTCACGTTTGATCTGCTGTTGAATAGCGGCTCTACTAAGAAGATTACTGCCAGTACAATGGCGTTTTTGACAAAAAGATTGCAAATCGTTGAAATTGATGAAGAAAATATGAAGCATCTCCATGAGGTGTAGGGAAATGTTCTAAACGTGCCAGCAGTTTGACAAGAACCGAAGTTGATAATTGGGTCCGATTATTATTTCGATTCATTAAATCAGCAACAAAACTGAGGTCAGGATTTACGATTATTACCTCCTTGCACAGCAACAGAACTGTTGCCTTGCTTCTCCCTTTGGCGTCGCTGACTTCTCATTGAAACGCTGTAGAGACTATCACTGCATCAGATTTCTTCCCGTCAGCTTCTTTAACTAGCCCGTTATCGTTCGATTTCGGTATTCGACTAAGTGCTCCAGCACTCTCCTTTCTTTTATGCTGCTTAGAATTGCAAAAAATTACATTGTGATTCTTTTGGCATCGACAACAATGTATTTTCTTGGAGCACTCCTTTGCTCGGTGTCCCTTTGTTAAACATATGAAACATAAGCCCAGCTTTTCTGCTCGTTCTACTCGTTTTTCAACTATGTTGTATTCTTTGCAGTTCTGGTTCCAGTACAGTTTGTCACAACGAATACAGTTCTTTAGTGGAGGTTTAACTGTTCGTTTAGTAATGAGCGCAGGGAAGGCCGAAGTTCTGTCCTTTGGCTTTGAGAACTTTTATATGGTTCTTTCTTATCCGTCGACCCATATGTTCTGTTTTTGTCTTCTTTGCGTCTTGTTATTTGTTCCAATAATCTACGAAGTTTGTAAGCGCTCCAAGCTGGATCATTTTCCTTTGCTTCGTATGCTTTCTCAATAACCCATCTCGGAAGTTTTTCTTCAATAGTCATTTCAGTATGGGGGTGCTCCACGCTTTCGCCTTGCGCTTCCAGCCGTCTTAATATGCGTTCAATTTCTTCGACCGTGCCCCGCATATCACCGTCTTTCTTGATATTTTTAAGCCCAGCATAAAGCGTTCGCAACAACACCGTTCTGTCTCCAAGTCGACGATACAGGATTTCCTTGACGATATCATAATTTTCAGAAGTCACCAAGTATCCCTGCACTGCCTGATCTGCCTTTCCCTTCAAGAAGCTGAGAAGGTAATTCAGTTTCTGTACTTTGGGGATCGACTGCTGATCCGCAGCATTCTGAAATCCGGAACAGAATTCATTCCAGTGCTCAATATCCCCATCAAATGGTTTATGCCCCAGTCGTGGTAGCTTCACTTGGCCAGCTGACATGGAGTATTCAGGGACGGCTTCCGGTACCACGCTGTTACCGATCGAATTATACATTGAAACAGAACGGGTCAGCCTTTCCAAGGCCATTTTAACATCTTCTCTCATTAATTCCAAGTTTTCAATTTCTTCCTTACCCTTTTCCACTAGCCAAATAGTACCGTTTTCATTGTCTGCTTCTGCTTCATACTGATTTTCTTCCACCTGGCGTTGTTCACCAGACAACGCCTTGATCAGATTCAACCATTGCTGATCGGCTTCGGCTAGTGTTTTCAGCGTGGAAAATTTCTTCAATTTCTCGTCAATCTTTCTTTTTTGAAATATGAGCGGTCTCACCTGCTCATCGAGTAAAAGTTGTTGAGATGGGAGCTCAGTTTGAAATGTTCGACTCTCATACAATAGCTTCTCCAGGCGCAACCTTGATGGTTTGGCCGCTAGCAGAATTAATGTGGACATCCCATATGTTTCCCGGCCGATGCACCAATAAAATTGTTGTGAAAGAAATTATAGCGGAATCGAATTTCGATTCCGAGGTTCAGAGAGAAGAATTCGGTGGTTCAGTGGTTGCAACAATTCTTCTCCTGTCTTATTCGACCGGGCTCTTCGTAATCCTAAGATAGTTTCCAAAAAATTAACTATCAAATCGTTACCTCAGGTTTAAGTAGAAGAATGTCCCATGCGCTAAATCAATAATATCGTCGAACAGCGGCGATAATACCAGTATTCACTGGCCGAAAAGACCAGGCCTCTGGGTTCTAAATCTCACTGAGTCCTCCCGATTGCCTCGGCTCTGCCGAGTCCGCCAACTCGTCTTCCGTGTCGTACGCAAGACACAGTCCTGTTGTCGACCGCCACCTCGTCCTCGACCCTTGATCCCAACTGCTCGTTTTGTCAACGTGTTTCATGTTTTACAAAACATCACTTGTACATATTTACGAAAACATGTCACAAAAACATCACCATATGTGCATATTCGCGAACATAAGTGATGATTAATTGCCGAGAAACATAACTTGAGCATAAATCATCGATATTTAAAACTGTTTTATAAACATCGCTTAACGCGACAACCCCGAATCGTTTTCATGAAAAACATTTTAGTTCTTGTTTATTTTGCTTGTCTTTGCAGAGGGAAGGTTCTGGAGATGGGAAGGTGGATTACGAGGGGAGCGAGCCACTTATTTCTTGTGGAGAACTGGACAGCCTGACTTATCAAGTAACAAGCTTTGCGTCTACTCACCATATGCAGGGGAATGGATGACCGCGGACTGTGACACTTTCCGCAAACCACGGATATACGTATGCCGGCGTAAGTTTATTTTTAACGATACACTGAAAGACAGATCAAATTTCATATGCGTCTTTCGCGTACGAAGGTGCCAAATCTCAACAGATAGCGGCGCTCGTCATGATAGCCGATGCGACCATGCTGTGCAGTTTGGCCCAGCGGGCCATTTCCCGTTAAGAATTTTTCCTGTTTTATTCGTTTTTGCTATGCAACGCTATAGCCCTGCAACAGCGAGCGAAAACGCATATGTCGAGAGGTCGTCTGTGTATTTGTGTGTGGAAGCAGGTGAATTCTGTCATCCACTTCCAACTTAGCAACCAAAAAAACTGGAAGGAAAAAATTTCGGGGACATATTTCCAACCCGTGTGTCACTCTCCCGTTTAAAATCTTCCTTCACATGCGCATTGATCTCGCATACTGACACCTCAAAAAAGTGCAGACTTCTTTGGGAGATTTGGGAAACAGGCAAGATAGAAAGCTAAAACTCTGCAGGAATATTCTGTGTGCTTGTGTGAGCTAGAGATTTCAAATTCAGCCACTGAGTGCCTGTGCAGCGTTTACAGCCACGTCAGAATTTGCAACTGGAACTATGCTAACTGAAAACTAGCCGGAAAGCAGTGGCTGAAATTTTATCAACATGTTTTCCGCCCACGTGGGAAACCGTATAAATTGAGTTTCGATTTGGAGCACTTCAAATATATTTGTAGCGAAGGGGCTATTTCATTTACCGAATAAGGTTCAATGCTGAAACTTTGCTGTGATATAGTACTCTTATGTGTGGTCTTAATCCTGCTTGAAGGTGAAATGCTCTGCAGGTGGTTATGAGAAGTTCTTAACTTTACCGCGAAATCAGAAACGAACGCATTTTGCGGATTTTAAAATCATCCTCTTCCGATTTCCATCAAATTTGTTTTTTATGCGTTTTTACATATATGTAAATTACAAAAACGCATATTGGGAAAAGCCTGTGTGCGCGTATATCTGCGTGTGAGTGTGTGTATCTGTGTGTTCGCACTTTTTGTCAACCACTTTCAACTCGAGATCCAGAAAAGCTAGAAGACTGAAACTTTGGGGATATGTGCCTGTACCATGCGCGACCCTCCCGTTTTAATTTCATCCCCCTTGAACGCCTGGGTGCCGAGTACGCACGTTTTAAAAAAATATGCAAATTTTCTGGCGGGAAAGCGATCTCGGGAACCACACCAGCTAAGGGGCTGAAACTTTGTAGGGATATTCCCTG